CACGACGACAGGGGTCGTCGGGGCGAGGAGCGGAGCCATGCCACGAGAGCTTCTGAAAACCTGTATGGTCATCAATATTCAGCATCTCGACAAACGGGCCCCGCGGGAAGGGCGAGCGGTGGACAACCTGCTCGTGAGGCCGCAAGGCCCCGAAGCTGTGCAAGACGCCTTCATGTGCAGAGTTGGCAATCTCCACCGCCATGTTGTCGCCCATCGCTAGAGCATTGAGGCAAGGCGCGACGTCCACACCTTCGAGCTCGGGGCGCCAGGCTCGAAAGGCCTTGAAGCGGGATGATGGCAGACGAACGCGAAGGGCGTTACGCCTGGCGCGCGCGGGAGGAACGCGGAAAGTGTAGTAAAACTCCCGTAGGTCGTCGCAAGAAACTGCCAGCCACTCCCCAGGCGCCAGACCCAAACGGCACAGCAGGAAACCCTGGCCAAGGCGCTGGGTGCTGGATGAGATTGAGGCACAGCGGCTGTTCACGACCGTTGGGTTCAGGATCAGCCTGTCGTAGTCGCTGTCCTTCGGTACCCTGAAAGCTCCGCAGGCTTCATCCCAGGCGAGGTCCGAAGCAGGAGTCAGGTACAGGGCGCCGCAGGCATCCCACTTCTGGAGCAGGGCCCACAGCTCGGCGCGGTCCATATGGACACGCGCCCCCTTTTGGCCAGCAGGCCACTCTGACGCCGGGAGCCGCATCTCCTCTGGATTGATGAACGCTTCGCGGACTCGAGCGTCAGAGAGAAATGGAATGGGATCAAACACTGGCGAATAATCCCACTTAATGCGAGACGCCCTGACTTTTAAATCGAAGGGCTCGACCTGGGTGGAGTCCCAAGCCGCCGCAGACGCCAGCGAACCAGGCACGGAAGGAGCGCTGGTCGGGCAGTGCCGCATGGGGGCGGGCACGGAAGAAGAGGAGGTGAAGGAGGCCTCCAAAGCTGCAACATGGGTGGCCAGGCCATGGAGCGAGACCTCAGTAGAGTCGAACTTGGCGAAGGCTCGACCTAAGTCGCTCTTGCCACCACGGGCGAGGCGAACTGCGATCCGACACAACCGTTCGATACGGGTGCGGACGCCCTCCTGGCAGGGCGAGACCGTGGCACGGACGCGAGCCTCGGCGGGAGCGAGGCTAGGATGACCCAAAGTGAGCCAGTTCAACGCAATAACAGAATACTGCGCGAGCGTCCGCGCCGCGCGCCGCAATCTCCAGCGCTCCCTGCGCCTCGCCGACAAGCCGTCAGGCGGGGGACCAAGAGGTGGAGCAGGCGGGCACGGCCAAGGATCGCGGGGAGGCGGCCCCAAAAGGTACGGGTCGTCCCGGTCCATTGCACGCATAGATGAGCGGGAGAAAGATCCAAGAGAACATCGAGCACCCATCCCAACCTGGGACAGCGCTGCCGCCCAGTGGGTGATATCAATGTTCGCACCTGGAAACAGGCGCAGCAAGGCAGACAAGTCAGCGACAAATGGCGCGACGTTGGCAAGAGCAGCAGGGGTGCTTGAAGGAGAACAAGCACCAGCAAGAACACCAACCTCAGGGGCTGCAGGCCCCATGGGGGGAGCGCTCGACTGAGGCAGGTGACGGCCAAAATGGCCGAATGGATCCGAGGGGCGGTTCGGAGCAGAGCGAGGGGCGTGGTGGCGGAACGTACTCCTCCCTGCGGGGCCGCAACAGCATCGCTGGAGGAGCGCATTCCTACCCTCACGCCCTCGCTGCGCCCAAACACGCCTAGCAGCCATAGCAGCGTCGGTGCAGACTGTCTGCGGCGGCGTACCTCGGCCACGCGAAGGCCCCCCCTCCAAGAAGGCGGGCGCCAAGGGCATCTTCAGTCCTTCTTGGGCACCGCCTTCGGGGCCTTGGGAGCACCCTGAGATTTGAAGGGGGGCTTTGAGACCTTGGGCTGCTTGGGCTGATGAGGTGGATGCTTGGGGAGCGCGACGGCGCGCTCGGCGTCGAGGCGCGCCCGAAATGCTTGCAGCTCCTTCATGTATTCGCCCTGCGCCGACAGCCAGCGAGGATCCACTAGGGGTGAAAACGGGGTCTGGGCCTCGCGCTCCGTGTGACGACTGGTCACGCGACACGGGGGAGGCTCCAGCCCCGTGAGGAACCAAGCGGCCTCGAGGTAGCCGCGGTCCCCCGCCAACTGGTCGATGAACATGCACTGGCAAGTCAGCAAGGTCTGGACCCTCTCGGGGTTGCCCTCCTCGCAGGCCCGCCACAGCTCGGCGCTGAGGAAGGCAAAATGCGTCAACAACTCGTGCGTCGACGGCTGAGCCCCGAGGGGGCTGTGCTCGCGAAAGTACTGATGCATGGCCATGGGGGTCACGGCGCTGACTTCCACGCCCAGAACGCGGGCCAAATTCTCCCTCATCAGTCCTCGCACGTCGGGGCCGTGCTGCATCAGCGCTTGCTGCCACTCGCGCCTCCGAGCGATTCCCCCCATCTGAGCCGATGCGTGCGCGGGGTCGCCCGAGGTCGCGGGCGGAGTTTGAGCTTGGTCGCTCAGGGTCCCCAGAAGCGGGTGGAAGGCTGGGCGATGGCCCCGCCCCTGCTGCAAGGAAAGGGACTGGTGCAGGCACTGAAGCATGAGGCTGAAGTCCGTCGGATTGGCCGCAAGGGGCGGCTCTAACCCGTCGGCGCCGCCCACCTCGGCAAAGCCGTCGACCGCAGCGGGATAGGCTAGCCCAGGCGGCGGCGGGGGGCCCATCGGTCCGAAAGCGGACGAAGGGGCCCGAGGGACAGCAGAAGAGCGCGCCTTCTCCCACGCCGAGACCAGCGCGGAGGTGGGTCCCTTGGGGCGCGCGGAGACCCGATGAGGGGCCACGGGTGCGTGGGACAAGACGGCCTCGATCCCCGCAGGATCCAGCCCGAGGCGCGCCGCCTCGTCGCTGAAAAGCTGAGGCACCTCGGGCCGAGCGCTCTGGGCAGCCGGAGCGGGGCCCAGCGGTTCGGGTCCGCCGACCATCGTGGAGGCCGCGTGGGCTGCAAGCAAGGCGCGCATTTCGGCAGCTACCTCGGCGCGGGTCATGGGAGCCCCGTCGTCCAGAGACGCCGCAGGAGCGCCAGGAGCAATCGGAGCAGGACCCGCGACCCGTGGCGGCGCGGCGGCGCCAGCGCGCTTGGCGGGCGGGCCGCGCGGCGCTCCAGCGACCGCGGGGGCTCGCGCACTTGGGGCCGCGCGGTCGGCTTCCCCGTCGGCCGCGAACCCCTCGGGCTCCTCCATCTCGTCGGCAGAGTGGTAGGGGGTAGCCCGATCGGCCCCTGGGAGAGGCTCTTCCCCTGCGGTAGGCGGGGCGCCGTGCAAACGAGCGTAGCCCTCGCGAAGCACCCGAACCCCCGAAGGATGCGGCCAATAGACGCGGCTGCGCACCTCGGCGAAGGGAACGATGCCTGCGTCGTCGCCGACCTCTAGAGGGTACAGCGACTCGAGCTCGAGCTCGGAAACCTCGATATCTATAACGAGGACGGATGCGGTAGTGGCGAGCGGCCGTGAAGCGGCCCCCTGGAGCTGGACGTCCACTAGCTGGAAGGGGCCTATCATCCCAGCAAAGCCATCCGCCTCGGCAGCCTCGAGCTCCGCTGTAGAGCGAAAGGCACCAGGCAGGGCCAGCAGGATGCCCCCTTCTCGAGAGGCGAGGGGGATAGCCGCCCAGCTGGTGTCGCCGTCGTCTAGGCGCCATCGTGCGTAGTCGCGCGCCGTGGGCGCAGCGAAAGGGTAGAGCTCGGGCCAAAGGGGCCCTCCGCCAACTGGTGGCAGCTCCGCCATCAGTGGGCGCCGCCGTGGACGCCGCCGCCCGCACGCTGGGCGTCTGCCCGCTCGAGCGCTTGAGGTCGAGGCGGAGCCCCGTAGGCGCTCGCGCCGCACGGCGGTCCTGCTCAGGTGAAGCAGAAACCGCGCCGCGCGGCCAGGCGAAGGGCCAGAGCCTCCGCCACACGTACGGGCCCAGCAGCCCGAGGCAGCAGCCCGCGCAGGCGCTGCAGGCGGCCGTCACCCAGAGGAGGGCGGCGACCGTGCTGAGCAGCCAGGGAGAGACCCCGCCGCTCAGGTCCACCGCCAGCCCGAGGCAGACGGTGGGGCAGGTGGAACCCGCCGAAGGGAGAGGGCAGGAGGCCCCCTCGCCCTCGGACGAGTCCGCCTGCAGGATGGACCAGGCAGGAGCTGGAGGCCCCTGGTCCTGAAGCACAGAGAGGGGGGCAGCCACGAGCCGCTCGTAGAGCGCGGCCCGCAGCCCCCTGAACAAAATCTCCCCAGCGCCCTGGAGAGCCGCTTGTGCGACCGCCTGCATAAGGCGCCCGCACGCGCGGCCGACGGGGGGCACTTGGGCAGAGAAGCTGCGGAGACAGCAGGAGCTTGCTCACAGAGAATAGAAGAGGCATAATGATGATGATAATGATAATAATAATAATAACAAGAATAATAATAGTAATACTAATAATAAGAATAATGATGCTGATGATGATGATGATGATGATGATGATGATGATGATGATGATGACGGTGATCGTCATCGAGGACGGCCATGCTCAATGCGACAACGACGGCGACGATGACGATTGTCATGTGGGCGGGGTGAGGTTATGGTTCCTGGCCCCCGCGCGGGGATGCATAGACACAAAATAACCCCACATTGCATGTGGGGGGGATGTTTGGTTCGAAGGGGTATGTTTGTGACCATTATCGGTTGTCTCAACCACTCCAGAGGGTTTTACCAACACGCTAATGATAGCTCTCACCAATCACAGATACAAAGGAGGAGAAAGAAAAAAAGGAAGAAGAGACGGTAGGCACAAAAGGTGAAGCGGAGGGGGAAGAGGAAGAGGACGACTAAGCGGATGGAAGAGGGAAAGGAGCAGGAAGAGCAGAAACATTGAGGCCGCAGATACGGCGGTCGCAACGCCCAGCTTGAACGTATTGTGGACGTGCTGCCCGCGAAGCGAGAGGAATCCAAGTCTGGCTGTCCGATGCAAGTACAGCTAAGCCGACGTAAGGCACCCATCCTAGTCGCAGCAGGCGTCATTGAGCATCCCGCATGCGACTGTGCTTTTGCAAAGGACCGGCCCCGAAGCGATGTCGTCATCCTCCCCATACTGTGGCTCACAAGACGGATGACTATAAGCCTGCTTAAGGACGCAGAAGCCCATGCCCGGCTGCTTCAGCGCATCGAAAGCAAAGAAGGCGCAGCCGGTCTCTGCCATGCAGAGCATTCTGCAATCGTACGGCGTCCTCAGGTGGTCCGTGTGCGCTGTCGGGATGCCCTTTGTCGCGATCCAGGACGGCTCGCTGAAGTCGTAGCCTGTCGTGGCAACGATTTTCACCTCGACTGCGTAACCACAGACGTTCGCCGAGCCACCAGCGTCGTACCCGTCCATGATGCATCCAGGGCACTGCGTCGGGCCCGACGTGATGTCTGGGGCGCCAGCATTCAGTCCGTAGAGAATGCAATTCGCATCCGAATATCCATCCTTGGCATTGTTTCTCCTCACTGGCCCGCAACGCTCGTTGCCCGTCCAGCCCACCACCACCACCACCACACTGCGCAACGGCGTTCCATCGTTACTATCACAAGTGCGCGTGAGCATCGCAACTTCTGTGGTATGCACACGAGCGGGTGTTTCGGCACTGTGGAGTTCATGCGCCTGTCATCAAGCCTGTGTTGCACGCGATCACCTGCGGTGTACACACACAGCGTGGTGCACACAAGCATTGTGATGCACTCAGGCCTGCGGTGATTTACAGGAGCGCTGTGGTGTACGCATGATGGTGATGCGCGCAGACTGGAGGCACCGCGGTGGACGCAAATACTGCGGTGTACAGCAGCGGAGCGGTGTACAAACCCATCGCGTTGTACACAAGCGCTGTCGTGCACACAAAGACTACGGTGAACACAAGCAATGCAGTGCACACATATTGTGGAGGTTACACAGGCAGCGTGATGTACACAAGCGACGCGGTGCACACTGGAAAATGGTGTAGTACACAGGCATTGTGGCGCACATACTTCGTGTGGTGTGCACATGAGGAGTTGTGTACTCAGACATTTGTGGTGTCCATAATGTACGTTGGTAAAGCGGTGCACTCCTCCAATGTGGTGCACGGCTTCGTTGTGTGAACAATCGCTGCAGTGTGCAGAAACGCAGCACTGTGTACAAGCCACAACGCCGTGGTGTACACAAGCAGTGTGCACAGGCAACCAGGGGTGCACAGAATCACTTCGGTGCATTAGGCACCGCAGCGTACACAAGCACTGCGGTGTACGCAGGCACTCTAGAAGGCAGCGTCAGTGAGCTCTTTAAAAACAGGTGCAATGCAAAAAAAAATCCGCCGATCCGGCGTGTGAGTTTAAGAAAGTTGCAACCTGAGCTTCAGCTCTGCTGGGGGGGGCTGGGAGGGCTCTGCCGGGGTAGGCGCGGGAGGGGGGGGAGGGGGGGGGGGGGTTCATCGGGTCCACCCTTTATTTCCCCCCCCCCCCGGAAATCCCAAACCGCTCCCCCAAGACATGCCAAAAGGGGCCCAGGAGGCCACCAAGACGGTCCAGGAGACGCCCGAAACGGCCCAAGAGCGCTCCTGGACGCCCAAGATGGCCTGAAGACGGCCCAAGAGGCCTCCAAGACGCCTCAAGGAGATCCCCAGAGGACCCCCAAGAGGGCCCCAAGAGGGTACAATAATAAAATTGCTAATAGGTTTGGAAGAATTTTGACATTATCGCCTTTTCCGTCTTAGAAGCGCCGAAGACGGTCCAAGAGGCCTCCAAGATCGTCCCAAGACAGCCCAAGAGGCCCCCAAGAGGAGCCAAGACGGTCCAAGAGGGCCCCAATATAGCCCTGGAGGCCCCCCAAGACGACCCCGAGAGGCCCCCAAGATGGCCTCAAGAGGGTGAACCCGAACGGACCCTTCTAGTCCTCCACCCCAAGATGACCCCAAGAGCCCCCAAGATGCCCCCGAGGCGCCCCCAAGGGGCCCCCAGAGGTCCCCAAGAGGTCCCCTAAGAGGACCCCGAGATGACCCCAAGAGGCCCCAAAGGCCCCCAAGAAACCCCAAGAACCAAGAGGCCCCAAGAGGCGCTCACTCGCGTGTTGCCAGGCCAGAGGTGCACGGCCCGACTAGGTATTGCTCGGAAACGAAAGCGATGAACGAAGAACCTTCCACCCGTCGCCGTCACCAGTCGTCGGTCGTCGGCCGTCGGCAGCCGTTCGCCGTCAGTCGTCGTCGTCGTCGTCGTCGTCGTCGTCGTCGTCGTCGTCGTCGTCGTCGTCGTCGGTTCGTCGTCATTAACTACTTCGTCGGTCGTCGTCGAAATAATACCGCTCGTCGACCGTTGTCGTCGTCATCGTCCATTTCAACAACAATAGCATTAGGAGCGCCCCGGATCGGCGGCACTGGCCGGAGGCCACTACAATATGAACATGACGCTGAACCAGGCCAAGTCAAGCCTGAGATTACGCCCGATTGAACCATATCAAATAATATTCAAAATTAGCCCCAGTGATGTTTGCCATGGTTGTTGTCCCCCTCGCTGCTCCCCTCCCCATTGTCGTCGCCGTCGCCTTACGGCCGTCGCCGTCTCCCACCTCGAACCGTCGCCTCCAATTGAGCAACGTCGATCCCTTCCCCGACCGGGGGGGTGGGGGTCCAGGGGGGGGTGGGGGGGGATGGGAGAGGGGTGGGGGGGGGTGGGGGGGGTACTGGGTCAGAATACCATCTCCCTCGGGGGGTCCCGGGACCAACGCAAGCCTCCAGACGAGCCAGGAGTGGCCCAAGAGCCCCTCAACATGGTCCAAGAGGGCCCCGAATCGCCGAATCATCGGTTCAATACGTCAAAGATAGCCTTCACACGGCCCAAGAGGCCTCCAAGTCGCCCCAGAAACCTCCAGGAATATTCCGAAAGAGCCCGAAAAGGGAAAATTCATTGATATGCCTCTGGTTTTTCTAAGGATTTTCGCATTCTCGCCTTTTCGGCTTTCCGACGCTAGGAGACAGCCCAAGAGGCCTCCAAGAGAGCACCAAAACTGCCCAAGAGGGCTCCAAGACAGCCCAAGAGGCCGCGAAGATGGCCGAAGAGGCCACCAAGACGGCTCCAAGAAGGCGCCCCGACGGGGGACCCCAACGAACATTTCGAGCCCTCGGCCCCGAGAGGCTCCCAAGAGGCCCCAAGGCGTCCCCAAGAGGTCCCCAAGAGGCCCCAAGAGGCCCCGAGAGGCCCCCAGGAAACTTCAAAACGCTCCCAAGAGGCTCCCACGAGGCCGCCAAGATTCTCCCAATATGCCGCCAAACTGCCGCCCAGAAGACCCCGAGAGCGCTACTACTACCACGACTGGTACTGCTACAAGTCCACCAACTATTTCTACCACTACTACTACTACTACTACTGCTACTACTACTACTACTACTACTACTACTGCTACTACTACTACTACTACTACTACTACTACTACTACTACTACTACTACTACTACTACTACTACTACTACTACTACTACTACTACTACTACTACTTCTTCTTCTTCTACTACTACTACTGCTATTATTACTGGCACTGCCAAAATTACGACTACTACTACTACTACTACTACTACTACTACTACTACTACTACTACTACTACTACTACTACTACTACTACTACTACTACTACTACTACGGCTATGACTACGACTACGACTACAACAACTACTACTACTACTACTACTACTACTGCTTACAACTACGACTACGACTACTACTCCGACTTGACTACGACTACGCTTACGACTACGCCTACTACTACTACTACTACTACTACTACTACTACTACTACTACTACTACTATTACTACTACTACTACTACTACTACTGCTATTACTACTGCTATTACTACTGCTATTACTACTACTACTACTACTACTCCTACGACTAGTACCACTACTACTGCTACTACTACTACTACTACTACTACTTCCACTACGACTACGACGACGACGGCTACTACAACCACTACTACGACAACTAATACTACTACTACCACAAAAATTACGACTACGACTACGACTACGACTACTACTACTACTACTACTACTACTGCTACTACTACTACTACTACTACTACTACTACTACTACTACTTTTTCTACTAAAACTACAATTGGTACTGCTACCGGTCGTACTACTACCACACCTGGTACTGCTACTGGTCGTACTACAATTTCTACTACTACTACTACTACCACTACGAAAACAACTACTACTACTACTACTACTACGAATACGGCTACAACTCCTACTACTACTACTACTACTACTACTACTACTACTACTACTACTACTACTATGACTACTACTACGACTACCACCTGACTTTATACTAGCATAATAAGACTACTACTACGACATAACTGCACTTCCTTCTAATTAATCACTACTTACTCCTGGGAGATCTTAAGACATACTACTACTACGACTACGACGGACGGGGGTGGGGGGGGGGTGGACTTACTACTACTACTACTACTAATAGTGCGACTACTACTACTACGGCCACAACTACGACTACGACTACGACTACTACTACTACTACTACTACTACGACGACGACGACGACTACTACTACTACTACTACTACTACTACTACTACTACTACTACGACTACGACTACTACGACGACTACGACTACTACGACTACTACTACTACTACTACTACTACTACTACGACTACTACGACTACCATTACTACTACTGTAAAAACTACCACTACTACGACGACGACTAATACTTGTACGACAACTACTACCACTACTACTACGACTATTACTACAACTACTACTACCACTACTACGGCGACTACTACTACTACTACTACTACTACTACTACTACTACTACCACTACCACAGCTACAACTGCGACTACTACTACTGCTACGACTACTACAAATACTATTACTATCACTACTACTACTACTACTACTACTACTACTACTACTACCACTACGACTACTACTACTACTACTACTACTACTACTACTACTACTACTACTACTATTTCTACTTCTACTACTACTACTACTACTACTGCTACTACGACTACGTTTAAGGCTACGGCTACTACTACGACTGCTACTACTACTACTACTTCTACTTTTAATGCTACGACCACTACTGCTACTACAACTATTTGCCCAACCACTACTTGAACTTCTAGTTCTAATACTAGTATGATTACCACCACTACTATTACTACTACGACTGACACTATTACTACTACTACTACTACTACTACTACTACTACTACTACTACTACTACTACGGGTACGACTGCGCTTACTACTACTACGCATGCGCTTACTACTACTACTACTACGACGACGACTACTACTACTACTGCTACTACTACTAATACCACTGCTACTACCACTACTACTACTACTGCTACCACTACTACTACTACTACTACTACTACTACTGCTGCTGCTACTACTACTACTACTACTACGAC